AAACAAACGTATGTGTTGTGATTGCGGTTGAGAGAATGGTAATATGTAATCGAAACCTAAAGTAGCAGTAGATTTTAGTATTAACCCATGTTTTGCTAGCTTCCCACTTATGGGACGCTTGTAAAAAAAATCGCTAAGATTTGTTAAATACTAGTTAAAACACAAATTATGTTTTATTGTATTTGAAAATGGTTAGACTATTGTATCATTGAGTGTTGTGTGAAAAATTTTAATTTAGAAAAAAAGTTATAACGCCGGCTTTGTAAGACGTCAAAATGGCAGAAAAAAGAAAACATGCGCACAGGAAAATGCATATCTTCTAAAATATTAACATTTTAAGTGCAAAATATTTTTGAAACTTGTAGCAGTACCATATTTGTATCTGATAAAAATTTAAGAGTAAGAATTTTTTTTTAACCACTTCGTTATATCAAGCCTACAACAAGCGTCCCATAAGTGGGACGCTAGTAACGAATAGCCCCATGTATATTGTTGAACAAATATAACATCTATTGGACACTAGCGAGAAACACAGATGCAAATGTTTATGTTAAATGGTAATTTATGGTGAAACAATTGTTGACTTTGTTAACTGTTGACGTTGAGGTGTTAAGTAGTATTTATAGATATTTAATTATGACCTTGACCTATATTTCCTTATATATTTTTGGAAAAACACATTTTGTTATTAAGTTTTCATAATTAATCTAACTGAAGGATTTAATACTATTGAAAATTAAACTAAATTTACCAGCACGTGATATTAAAATTATAACAGACCAGAAATATAACAATGGTCACGATTTAGGTGAAAAGATTCAGTAATGGGGGTTGGTTAACAACATATGGAAATACTGTTCAACTCTAATCATAAATGGAAGCTCAATCTACATATCAGAAATGTGAATTAGCTGTGTAAGCCTACTGTTGTCATGCCCCAATAATATTCCCCTCCAAAGGTTCCCCATACCAGTCCTACTTTGTTAACTTTTAAGCGACTTTTTAAGGATATTGCTGGTGCTAGATTGGAAGATATTCGGATAGTGAGGTGCATAAATGGATGAGAACCATGAACACTCAATATAGGCCCCAGAGACGGATCCGAGCCCTAGAAATGAGATGTATGTCTTAAAATGTATGCCCGTTGGGGGGGGATGATCGAGAGGGTAACAAAAGAGAAGATGGCTGGATGACATCTGGGACTGGACCGGAACGTCTTTTGCAAATTCACTGAGGGCAGAGTTTCTTCCATGCATCACTTCGATAACCATCTACTGCCCCCCCCCCCCCCTCAGAGGATCCGATAGATGGCAAGGCATTGGGGAAGAGGCAACCGTGGTACCCCAACCACCGTCCGACAGATGTAGAGGTAGATAGGATAGCTGCTCTACACAATGTAATTATCTGAAAATATTAAAACGTTTGATATAATGGGGTTCAATATCATGATTGTAAATGTATATATCAGAATAACAACTTAGGTTTGGTGTTTTGCAAAGCCATATACCATCAGACATTAAATTGAAAATGACAGACTTTGTGGACAATTGTATCATTTGTGATAATGTGTGCGTAATTTGAAGTGCCAGCCACAGCTTTAGTTATTTCCAAGTGATATTCACTTTGATGGATACTGGATTGAAAAAAACTAGACGTTTGGACATAATTTCTGCATTTTAGACCATGGTATGGCTAACGCAATTTAACAGATTTGGTATTTTTAGCTGTCCTAAACGTGGCGTACGAGGGAGGAGGGGGTTGCGGACCGCACCGGGTAACACCATTTAAGGGGGTGACACCAAGGCAAAAAATAGCAAAATATATACTGAAAAATGATAATTTCACTTAATAAAATGATTAATTAGAATGAATTCAATAGTTTGTTAAGAGCAAAGTGGACAAATCCCGACACGAATGGATAGTAGGTGGGGGGGGGGGGGGTTGACACCATGACGTAAACCTGCTGATGATAAATAAAGCATGCAACATCAGCTGAAATTAACACCGAATATAGATACAAATCGTTAGTATTATCTGAGCACAATTTAAAGTAATCACCGTGGGGGTGACGGTGAGGGGGGGGGGGGGAGTCACATCAACTCAACGTTGCAATATATATGCCTGAGAAAAACGGGTAGTTGAGAATAGTAATAAGCTATGTTAATCCATGTATGAAAAAATATTTGAATACATATGCACATACGTATATGAAATATATACATATATATATATATATATATATATATATATATATATATATATATATATATATATATATATATATATATATATATATATATATATATTTCTTACGGGGACGACACCATTAGGTGCCGCACCGGGTGACACCTGACCTCGCTACGCCACTGGTCCTTAACAATGTAATCATTGGTCTAACAATACAAACTCAGTTTACAGCTTAATTTTCACGCGATTAGCCGTATTTCGTGATTTTAAAAAATGTGCAATATATTTACATGGGGCCGTTCGTTGGTAGCGTTTCGTTTATGGGACGTTTTTAAAAAAAAATCGATATTTTTAAAAAAAAATGATTTTTTTAAAGAATCCATAGTCATTCCTTAATTCAGTGCCCAAAAGCTAAGCCATGTCCAAAAATTATAAAATTGTGAGACCTTGGGATAATATGTGCTAATGACAAAACCATAAAAGAACAATAAATAAACCGGGAGTGATCTCCCCTAAACTATCTCGAATATTCTTATATAAAACAACAGGGGATGAGAACTCGGGATATAGACATGATTTTTAATCCATTTTAAATACTTAAACTTTTTAAAAATAGAATAAAATCTCGTAGAAAAAAGAATTGCACACCAAGTGAACGCAAAATAAAATGTGCATAATAGTGCGGAATATTATTAGTACTTTATAAATTTACATTAGTTTTTTTGAGAAATCGGAAATAGCGTAAATTACTACTTCCGGTCAACGGAAATTACTCAAAATTTGATATAAAGCAGAAAAGAGAATTATATTTTTTACTTATATGTGAAATTTCACTTATATATCTGAAATAGTACTCACGTTATAGGCTTTTGAAAAATTTAAAGTAGAATAAGTGCCACTTCCGGTTATCGGAAATCGTTGAAAAGTTGAAACGGATCTACAAATTTAATATAATTTTTATATTTGAAATTTCATCAACCTAGCTCTAACGGTACTCAATTTAACGTGTTTACAGACACACATACATACACACACACACACACACACACACACACACACACTTATACGGACAAGATTGCAAAATTAAGTTTTTCTGACTCAGGGAGGTGTAAAACGTCGAGATTTGCAAAAATCTCGATTTTTTTTTTGCACGATTACAATACTTTCCCTATATTTCATATACACGTGAAAGTAAAAATGGATTTAGAATATTGTCTATATCCCGAGTTGCCATCCCCCGCAGGCAGTGTTATATAAGAATACTAGTCGTCCCGGCCAGGCCCTGCACTGGCATATCTGAAAAACGTATCTGTAAAGTACCATAACTTGTGTGTTTAGTAATCAGCATTTACCCGGCATTGCCCACCCTAACCATAACAACCCAAAACACACAAAAAATGCAAACATAACATTAATACAAAACAAACAAAAACACAAATGAAAACACAAAAACAAATGCAAGACAAACCCAACCACAAACACAAAGAAAACACTAACGCAAACAAAAAAAGAAAACGAAACAAATCCAAACGCAAAGACAAACCCAACCACAACCAAACAAAACCAAAACACACCAAAACAAAACAACGCAAACATAACACAAACACAAGTACAAACAAAAACGAAAGCACAAAAATAAACACAAACAAAAAAACAAACACAACTGCAAACTCAAAGAAAACACTAACGCAAAGAAAAAAGCAAACGAAAACAAACCCAAACTAAAATCCAAACGCAAACACAACCACAAACGCAAACCCAAACTCAAACACAACGGAAACACAAACGCAAAGATAAACTCAAAGTGTCCATAGTCTAGCACGGGGCGCCAAATCTCACCATGACGACGTGCGGCGTAACCGCCTGATTCAAGTAAGTAAACGACTATAGTACCCAACTGATTAATAGTCTTTTGAACTCACTTACGCTAACGTAGGTACCACGGGAAGGCCCGGGGCGCCAAATAGCACCCTGTCGGGGTGCCGGAGGACGCCCGGATTTGATTAACTTAAAGATTATAGTAACCTTTCTTATCCACGGTCGATCGCACTGTTTAAAACGAAATTTTTCAGCATAGCGCTCACATGATAGCCCAGGGCGCCAAATCAAACCGTGCAGGGGCGCCGGCGGACGTGCCTCTTTCAATTTAGTGAACAATTATAATACTCTAAGCTTACCCGTAAACGGAAAGAAATAAACATATAGGTTTTGTAGGAACTGGCTTATTAAATGTTATTGATTTAAAAAAAAATAATTAGTAAACAGTATGTTTAGTGTATAGAATAAACAAAAGGCAGTATTAAAAATACCTACAACATTGCACTTAATCAATCCCCGCTAATTATGTAATAATTGTTTTCCTAACACCAAAACAAAGTAATAAAAAGTATATTCTTTTCCACTAATGCAATGTTTTATAAAGGGAAGTAATTGTGTTTTCCTAATTTATCAAAGGGAAGTAAGTGCTAAAGGACTAAATATAAATAATTTTCAGACATAATTAGAATTTTTGTAAAAAATGATATTTTTAAAATTGTTTTTAATGAACATGCCGACAATTATTACTATCAGTTTGAAAAATGAAAATTATTTCCCAACACTTTCAGTATTAATTTTTTAAACCATGCATTTAGACCATGAGCGCTTTAATAATCTAACACTTGACTCCGTGAAAGTATCAATTTTTTTCGTTTTTTGTGATATTCCATTGTAATCCTCGATTACAAACATTTTACATACAAACATACAGAGTTAGGGTTAGGGTTAGGGTTAGGGTTAGGGTTAGGGTTAGGGTTAGGGTTAGGGTTAGTCGATAAAAAATAACAAAATGGCTGACGCTACTGTTAGTGTACGGGCTCATTGCAAACTGTTACTGCATGCTGCTAAATATCCCCACAGCTCAGTAAATGGCATTTTATTGGCGGAGGATAACAAAAATAAAGATCTGACTAAATCACTACGTTATGTTGACTGCGTTCCTCTATTCCATGTGTCATTAGGTTTAGCACCCATGTTAGAAATCGCTCTTTTGCACGTTGATGCTTACTGTAAAAGTAAAGGATTGGTTATTGCTGGATATTATCAGGCAAATGAAAATTTGAATGAAAATGAAATGAATCATGTTTCTAAGACAGTGGGCACGAAAGTTCAGGAGAATTTCCATGATGCTTGTGTCCTAATTGACAACAGGAAAGTAAAACCAGAAACTGTTTCCCAGCCATATAAAGTGTTTGCTCATAAAGAAAACGGATGGAAAGAAATAGAAAAGAAGAGCTCCTCAACAGAAGATGAGTTACAAAAAGAACAATGCCTCTACACCCTACTCAAGTCTGGAGCACAGCGACATGTAAAAGATTTTGACAACCATTTAGATGATGTTCGGAATGATTGGAGGAACTTGGAACTTAATGATATGATTGCTCGGTGTATATAACATTGCATCCATTCAGTCATGCAAATTTCATTTTGTAAGATATTAAAATAACCTTTGCATGTAAGTGGCCAGTGAGAGCTGTGAATGTCATAATTTAAAAAGGTGATTGCTTGTCTGTACATGAGTGTTACATTAAGACTATTGTTAGTATAAGGAAGAACTCATTCTAAGTGTAATGCTTGTGTTTAACAAGTCTGTATGATGCTAGCATACCTCTTTTTGTTATAAAATTTATTATATTCAGAATAAAGAATTGTTAAGTGTTATTATTGATGGTTATCACATTTTCTTAAAATCTCTGTATGCAAACTTTATAGACACATTTCTTTTTCTCATAAACAAAAAGCATTTAATGTTTTGTAAAATTTTGGTTGGTTAAGAAAATTGAAGACACTTTTTTTCCCAAGTGTTTAAAGTAAAGTTTTAATATACAACTGTAATAAATGGTGGGGACCACTTAAATTAAAAAAAAAAACATTTATGAAAGAATGTTTACATTCTTTTGTGGACCTATAAAAATGGAAATCACATCATCAGAAAAGTGACACATAGCATTACAAAAGATTAATTATTAATATTTATTTATTTCTGTTGTTTATGTTCTATGGACCTTCTAATGTGATCATGCATTTACTTTTATAAATATTGCATTGGAGTGTCTGGAAAATTGATGCAAAAAAATAAAATAAAACCTAGTTAATGACACAATATGCATTTAACATGTGAAATAAAAGAATCTTTAAAAAAAAAACAAAAAAAAAATACAAACATACAGAAAAAAAGAAAGAAAAAAAAATACAAACATAAAGAATTGAGCTTTATATATTAGATTCGAGAAAGTTTGTATATGTGAGTTTGCAATTGTAGCCTCGTTTTTGTAATTAAATTTTTAACACAAATCTAACTGTATGTGTTCTCCCCAGTTTCCCAAGGCTACAAATGCCTCTAAGGAATTACATTTTCCACGTGGGTACTAAAGTAGCGTTACGCAATGAGATTTTTGATGGCGGGATTTTTTTAAGAATTCCCAAGTGAGTTTTCTTTTCAGTACATTAAGCAGTCATTAGTGTTGGGTCATTAATCACCCGCCTTAATCTTCATATAGTCTGTAAATAACTTTAAGCTATTAACAACAGCCACAACTGCAGCTTAGCCCAAACCCAAGCCCTAGTCCTAGCCTTAGAAAACTCCAAAAGTAAACAAATGCCACTTTCCAGTTTGTTGTAAGACGGACTTAGCCATAATTAAATGCAGGCTGAAGCCAACGTCCATATGTCGCATAAAATGTTCACTACTTGATATTGTTGGAAGAAATCCCGTCCAATGTTACAATTAAAACAGATTTGGAAATTCTTACATAAGTTAAAAGCCCACGACACAAAAAAATAGATTTACAGCTCGAGCAACATGTCATTAGAATTCGTTTGACAGTTATCCAGAGTCCGTTGTCGGCACACGGGTGTAAAACAAAACCACTGAACCATGTTCTCGTTTCTAAGATATTTATTAATAACCCCCTCAGTTATTAACTGTAGTAGTCTTTAAATTATGTTTTAATAATTTATCTCGTTTAAAATTGGATCAATTTGCTATGCCAACAGAAACAAATGTAACTGCATTTGATTTAAATTGAGTGCAGTATCTCACCACACATCAACCCACACCGAAAAATACACAGTGAACTAACAAAAAAGCTCGTTAAATATATTCATCTGGTTTGACACAAATAGTAAGAAATGAAAGTTTGAGTTTTGTAATAGCTTCTGTAAACAAGTCTGTCTAATTATCTGTCAATTTAACATTCTTTATTTTATTATTATTTTGTTTGTTTCGCTTGATCTGCACTATTTGTACAACTGTAAAATACATATAGGCCTATATGTAGAGAATAATATAAACTTTTTTCCAAAATGTTATCCACACACTTATATAATGACGATCATTAATTATTTTATATTTTCTTTTGTAGAAACACCCCTTTAATTGTAGAAGTTCGAAACGATACTTCATTTACACAAAATTAAAACATTTCGAAGGGAAATACAGTGAGGTTACTTGAAATGAATAGGAATTTTTCAAAATGAAACGAAACTTTTACCGATAAACTAGGTTTGAGCTGTTGAGGAAAGTAGGCAAAACTAAAATGAATTTGTTAAAAGGGAAAACAAGTATAAACACATAAGAAACAAGTGAGTTTCTTTTTTCAACTATTTTACTCCTTAAATAATTGATATAAATGTTTGTTCGTTTAGCTTCAATGATTATCGAATTCGAGAATAACAGAATTTATCTTGAGCTACCGATAAACTAGAATTAAGCTATTTTCATTATGTCCGTGAATAAGTAGAGATTCTGATTAGATTCTGGATCTAGAATCTAGGCCAATCTAAAGTAATCACACAATTTAACAATTGAAATTCTTTTCTTTACTTAACTATTTCAAGCCCAAAATGTTTTTTTATATATATCTTTTTTTTTTCAATGGAATTTGCTAAATTAGGGCATACTTAAATTTAGAATAATATTCTCATAATTTAACATTATGGCGAAGATTGGTCTCTCAATTTTCCCACAAAAGTATAAGCCTAGCTGGCTGGGCTTACAGTGCAATAGTGACAATGTAGATGGTATGGGTTTGAAGCAAACCAACTCAGTGATACATATTTTGTTTTAATTTTCCTTCAAATGAAACTCCCACTGGGAAATCACAACACACGCGATAGATTCTAATTCAGCTATATAAGTTTGACGTCAGCTTTAATAATTTAATCAATTATCATTAACGTGAGGTTCGAGCTTATAGAAATACCAGCCATCGGTACCTGTTACACAGGCATTTCTGGTTAGCTCTCTTCTCTTTACATATAGGCTACCCGGTTTTTCTTTTAGATATTTATCTCCGGGAAGCGGCATTTAAAACTGTCCGGGAAGCGTGTGGGGTGTGTGCGTGTGTATGGGGGGGGGGGGATTGGGGGTAGCGGACACTGGTTTTTTTTTTGTTTTTTAAAAAAAGGGGAAGAAAAGGTAGATATGCCTCAAGAAAATGTATATATGTACGGAAAGTGAGTAATAAAATGAATTGTAATTAAGCTTTTTAAAAAAGTCATTATCGGATAATTAGAAAAGAAACATTTTATTGATCAGGAGCATTAAAATGAAACATTGTTAAGATTATGAAAAAAAAACCAAATGAAGGGATTTTGTTTTATGTACGATCTTTGTTTTATACTTGTTTAAAATAACATAGACTACTAATACCTATTGGATAAATTAAAACCAAATTATATACATTATTAGTCAACACCATATTAAATGCACTCGCTGATTAAGAGACTTAAAATTAACAGACTTAAAGATTTCGTTAAAACCCCGGCTGTTCAATGGTAGTTTTATTGTTTTCTGTCTTTTAAAAACACCTATTTCGGCTGAGCATAAGTCTAACCACACTATCTCTTCATAGGCTGAAAAGACAGAAACAGTTTAACTCTACTTCACCTGCCCCGTGTCCCGCCAAGTCCCGATAGGCAACTTAATTATTCACAAATTAAAAAAAAAAAACAAATTGAAAAAAATAATTTAAGATTGACTTTGTGTGTCTCGAACCAGTACCACCCGCATGGTATCAATTACACTATCATCTCAGCTATTTAGACACTATAAATCTAATTGGGAATAAAAGAGGTACTTAAGAAACTTAACTTACGCGAATATGCCCTATTCTTTCAAATTAAATGTCATCCCAGATTAGCCCTTTCCATTGCTAAACAAACAAAGATTTCAATAATATAATTAAGACCTGAAATACTTTAGTATTGTATTGTAGACAATACTAAATACGTAGATTTAAATCAAAGTTGAATAAAATAGTTACTTTCTTTATATTTTAAAATCGGAAGATGACGCAATTAGTTTTGTGTTTGTTCCTTAGTGTAAACATTTGTGACGTCATTGTTAATCGCGTTCTCTTCACAACTATAAACACTTTGCATAATTGAAATTGTTTTTTACATTCGAATATATCTTTATTTTCTATTGTTCGTCTTTAAATAAAATTTTGTTTATACATTTAAAACATTTAGCATATTCATTTCAACAAAAGTCCGTATCAAGTTCTCCATATATCGCTGAAGATACTGATCTGATAGCCTGTGAAAATATTTTGCGGACAGAGAGAGAGAGAAACGTGCGCACATGGGCTTTTATATATTAGGATTATAGAAAGAAGTAGATGTTTTTAAACGACAAAAACGTAAGCTGAGATGTGACTTCTTTTTAGATGAGGATGATGAATTTGCCTTTTGGCGGTAGATTGAGCAGATGAGACCCTAACACCCGAAGTTATCTATTGATAACGGGCAGTCGTCTTCTAAAAAGTATAGT